AATGTCTGAATTAAAAGTGTAACAAATCCCTTCCCCCAAAACAACTTAACTTCTGTTCCAGGAAAGATAAGGGAGCAAATAATTAAAGAATCAATTTGCAAAAATCTAGAAAATAAGGTGATAAGTAATAATCGACCTGGATTTGTCAAGAACAAGTCACGTCGAATCAATCTGATAGCTTTCTTTGACAGGGTAACAAGCTTTATGGATGGGGCAAGTGATAGATATCCTATATCTAGACTTAAGTAAGGCTTTTGATCGTCTTGCATTAACCTCTCATTAACAAACTAGGAAAAGACAACCTAGATGGAGCTATTCTAAGGTGGGTGCATAACTGGTTGGATAGCCAACCGTTCCGAGAATAGTTATCAGTGGCTCATAGTCATGCTGGAATGGCATAACAAGTGGGGATCTGTTCTGGATCCTGTTCTGTTAATTATTTTCATAAATGATTTAGATAATTGCATACAGTTTGTGTGTGATGCCAAGCAAGGAAGGGTTTTAAAGTGCTTTGGAAGGTATGATGAAAATTCAAAGTGAACTGGACAAATTACCTGAGGTAAACAAGATGAAACTCAAAAGAACAAATGCAAAGTACTCCAGTTAGGAAGGAACAATTACAAAATGGGAAATGACTGCTTAAGTAGAAGTACTGCAGAAAGGGATATGAGGGCCATAGTGGACCACAAATTAAATATGAGCCAACAGAGTGTCATAGTTACAAAAAAAACCAAACATCATTCTGGGATGTATTCCTTATAATGATAGAAATGTAGCCGTGTTAGTCTGGGGTAGTTGAAGCAAAATGCAGGACAATGTAGCACTTTAAAGACTAACAAGATGGTTTATTAGATGATGAGCTTTCGTGGGCCAGACCCACTTCCTCAGATCAAATAAATTTATTTGATCTGAGGAAGTGGGTCTGGCCCACGAAAGCTCATCATCTAATAAACCATCTTGTTAGTCTTTAAAGTGCTACATTGTCCTGCATTTTGTTCCTTATAATGCTCCTGCTAAGACATAAGAAATAATTCTTCTGATCTACTCTGCATTGATTAGGTCTCAACTGGAGTACTGTGTCCATTTCTGGGCAGCACATTTCAGGAAAGGTAAAGACAAATTAGAGAAGGTCTGAAGAGCAACAAAATAATTACAGATCTAGAAAACATGACCTAGGAGGGAGGGAGAGGAAGAACTGGGTTTGTTTAGACTGGAGAAGAGAAGACTGAAAGCTGTTTTCATGTCAGCTCTCAAGTACCTAAAAGGTTATTGCAAGGGGGCAGGAGAAACGGTGTTCCTGCAATGGATGCAGGGGACTTGACTTGATAACCTCTTATGTCCCTTCCAGCCCTATGATTCTATGAACATAAAATCTGAATGATCTGTTCTACAGAGAGAACTTGCAACAGGACTCTGAATAGTGCTGGGCCAAAGACAACATGAAAAGAAAAAAGTAACCCATTCACTTAGTCTGAATTTCAATTATGCATATGGGCGATGTTCTAGCAATCCACGGATTTGCAACACCATTCATTTTTCCTTTGTTCGGAGGAATTTCTCCCTTTACAACATCGCCAATTTATTTTGGCATTTGTGCATAGGAGGTAGTTCACCACTAATAATCAGAAATAGATGCTTTTTGTATAGATCACTGTTTTGTCACAGATCACAGAAGTCTTATTCAATACCTTTTTCAGCTGCACTTCCATTCCAGGTGCTAGCATGATACAGGCAACAAAGGTACTGAGGAGAAGGAGGAAGGCATAGATAAGACGTGTCACTGTGGAGTTCTTGCTGTTGGGACAACATTGGCACAGCAAACATGAGGCACCGCTGCACAGACATGGAATCTAAAGGATCAACATGGGAACAGTGAGGGCATTTCCCTATGCAGGCTTCACTTTCAAAAGAGCTGAACATTGTCATTAAACATAGTCCCCCACCCAAAAAAATATTACTTCCCTAGAAATTAACAGCCCAACTTGCTCCTATTTCTGCAGAACAATTAACACAAAATCAGAGACCAAAGTGATTTATTTGGACATTAAGCTTCACATTGATGGGCATTTTGTCTACAGTAAATTCTTCAGTGCTTTACCATTTTTTTAAAGTGTCTCAAGTGATGTCACCTCCCATCTTTTTACACCTGTGATTACTTTTAGTTTTAAAACTTACTTTTCTTTCTAGTTATTATAAATGGCTCCCAGGCTGTAGATACCAATGGGGAGAAAAACACTGGAGCAGATTTCACAAGCAACACTGCTGCTTTGTATAAATTCTATAATTCATAATGTGTACAAAGTTATGCTGGGTCAACAATGAATGATTTGCTGTGGTTAGGCATTCTATTCTTCATGAATTGGGTATGCTCAAATATGAAGCTTTTGATTACAGAGAAGCTTTAGATTTTTTTTTAAAAAAACAAATCTGTAGATGTGGATACCCCTGGCTCGTTTTTATGGTTGTGGATACAACATTTCGTATCTGTGCAGGGCTCTATTTATGAAAGGCTAAGTGTTTTCATGTCTCTCTCCGGCTACATTTCTATCACTATTCTACTGCTATCAGCATTCATAATTATGTAAACAAGTTGTGCTTAAAGCCACTTTATCAAGTTCTCATTTATAAAGTGGCTTCAAGAGCAACAAGATTAGAAAAGTTATCTTATTGATTCCAGTGTTTTATAACAGTGTATAAAATATACTAACAGTTTTACAACTATTTAGCTACATTTTAAGAGTGTTTCAAAGGTCATCATTGCTGATGTAGGCCCCAAAACTACATTAAATAAATAAATTATAGGAAAACAGTTTGAACTTGGACATACTCCCGCAGCATCTGCAATCCTAGCACCGGACTAGTGCATGAGAACTAGCAAGTGAAGGCAGCCAATACATTTTCATTGATTTAAACCAGGCGAATGCCTTAACAGAGTTCCTTTAGAGATTAGCGGGTCCATTATCGTCTCTAGTTTGTGGCTTTGCTGTACAAGACCCCAAATGAGCCCGAATAATATGGGTGTTGTTGACAACGCGAGGATTACTTCCTGCCCTGCGCCTCGTGAGGTTACCAACCCGGACAGGGACAGTCCACAAATAAACAAGAATTTCTAGAATAGTCGAAAGGCGGCAGGAAACCCCCCTGGGTCCCGCAGGGCACTGGCCAGGTCACCTCCCCTCCCCGCCTGCCTCTCCAGCTACTGAGTCTAACAGCTCCCGGAGCCTGGGCCTGCCCCTCGCCAGGAGGCCGTGCAGCGCCTGGCACAAGGGCACCTCCAACAGCCGTGATAAAGGGGGCTCCGCGCCCGACACAGCAGAGGCCCGCGGGCAGCACTGGGACCAGAGCTGGGGGGCGGGGGAGGGTCTCCGGAGCTAGACACAAGCGCTAGCGGCTGCTACAAACAGGGCGACCGGGCCCCGCAGGGAAGCAGCGGGAGGGGCGGCGCCTTCTCGGCACGGATCATACGGGGCCCACCGGCGACGGGCGAGGCTCGCCGCCCCCCCCCCCCCCCCGCCA